ACACACACACACACACACACACACACACACACACACACAAAGATTAGGTGTATGTCTAGGGTTTAGGGTTTAGGGTTTGGGGTTTGCTGCTGCGAGGTGTACGTACACCGCAACTCGCGAGACATACAAAGAAGGCCTCAACGACTCGCTGAGCTGCCTGTACACCCGAGCTGCCTATACACCCCAAAACCCTAAACCCTCAAAAGGGGAACCAGCGTACTTTGTTTGTTTGTTTTTAGCCTCGGCAGCGAGCAGACAGACGAACACCTAAACCACAACACCCCCAAACCCTAAACCCTAAACCCTAAACCCTCAACACCACTGAAAACCCTAGGAGACCACCTAAGCTGCTAACAGGCGCATACAGGCTGCCGCAGCGGCACGCCCCCAAACCCTAAACCCTAAACCCTAAACCCTCAACCAGACCTGTGCTGTCGCCAGAGCATCGAAGCCCGCCTCGTGGCTCCGCGTGTCAGGCAGCTCGTGGGGGACGTTCAGCTCCTGCAAGCCCACAAACCCTAAACCCTAAACCCTAAACCCTAAACCCTAAACCCTAGAATTTCCCCATTCATACCGAAAGCAACCCTAGCTCTTTATGATAAGAGCGTTAAACACCTCCGCCGCAGCAGCTGAGGTTCTAGGGTCCAGGCGCGGCCCTGAGCCTAGGGTTTAGTAGGGTTTAGGGTTTAGTAGGGTTTAGGGTTTAGGGTTTGTACCTTGAAGGAGAAGTCGAAGGCACTCTTGCGGCTGTCCGCAACCACAAAGCAGCAGCTCAGCCCCGGGATAGCCAGCAGGTGGTTTCTCAGTGCATGCAGCGAGGTCCTGTACACACAAACCCTAAACCCTAAACCCTAAACCCTAAACCCTAAACCCTCGCCAGACCCGAGCGCTGCAGCGCACATGCATGCGCTCTGACAGCCCCGCAACTGCTGCTTCTTAGGCTCCAGCATCAGCAGAGAAGAGGAGAACTACAGGAGCTTCAGGGTTTAGGGTTTAGGGTTTAGGATGCGTGGTCTGCGTAGCGTTCTAGGGTTTAGGGTTTAGGGTTTAGGGTTTACCTGCCGAAGGTGTTGCAGGGAGTGAGGTGGGTGGCTATGTACTTGGTGTCGAATACACCCCCACTAAAAAGCCTGCACACACAAACCCTAAACCCTAAACCCTAAACCCTAAACCCTAAAACACCATGCCGAGAACAAACCCTAAACCCTAAACCCTAAACCCTAAAACGACAACCATCACCTAAACCCTAAACCCTAAACCCTAAATCAAAACCCCCGACCTCCCCCCCAAAAAGAAGCAAATTGCCTGGTCTTCTTAAACACCAACCCCTCCCCCAACCCCTAAACCCTAAACCCTAAACCCTAAACCCTAAACCCTAAACCCTACCTATAAACTTCTTTAGCGAATAAGTTTATATTCTGCGGGATATCCTGAACGAACTTTTCTATTAAATGCAACAAATCAAGCAGCCCGTTGTGCAGCACAAGAGGGGCCTCAGATTCTATCAAAGCAGCAGCTAGCTGAGATAAACCCCCGCTGCTGCTGCTGCTGCTGCTGCTGCTGCTGCTGCTGCTGCTGCTGCTGCTGCTGCTGCT